TAAGATAATGACAGAGGATGATAACAAAGTTCAGTAACATACCTCTCGCATCTTCTCAATTTGCTCCTTGCAGCCACCAACATCATTGTAAGTAACATCAGGTTTCTCTTCAACAGTCATCATGGTGACACTAGGATCTATTTTGGGAGGTAGAGGAATCTGTATCTGGTACTTATTCCTATCAACTCTGCAAAATACAGAGCAAAGACGAAACTATTTTGTAATTAACGAACCAACGATTATAAGAATTTACAGCGACGCAAGAAATTGCCAATGGGACCATGGAAAATTTCATTTCCAAAAGAAAGAACATACCCGACGCGCATGCCTTCTTCAATGTCAGTGGGAGACACTTTATCGCCAAGGCCAACGACAAACTGCAGTCAAGAACAAAACCAGCAATAAACTAAAACTGGTTTTTTCAGAAATAAACATCAGTTTTAGGAATTCAAATGTACCTTAGCAATCTGTTTGACATTAATGACGTACTTGGCGTCTTCAGTGTTGGGACTAATAATCTTTGTGCATCTAGCAACCTAGCAAGTGATTAGAAGTTGGCGGTTAGAGAGAAGAAGAATAATATGATAAATGTAAGAAGAGGTAGGTACCTGGAGAGGTTGCTCCTCTTGCATCATCTGTTTATCAGAAACAAGATCCCATTGACTGGGAGGAGCTAAACCAGTATCAGACTCCTTGATACCTGCAATGATAGCTCATCCTTTAAGTAGGCACTCATCAAAGTAAGAGAGAGTGAATGGAGATAGTACCACAGAGATCGTTGATCTTCTTGGCGAGGTCCTTGATTTCTTTCTCTACTTTCTTTATCGGTGCAGAGTATGGCCCTAACCCCTGCACAAGTCAAAGATTCAGGCTACACTAGTCTAATTGCTCAGGACAACAATAACATGGAATTGTCCAAAACCTATAAGCTAAGGGTAGATCCGTAATCTACGATGATCAAGAACAGTAAAGAATTCAAATCCTTAATCGAAGTTAGGGTTGGGTGAGAAGGAGGCTTACATAAGTCTTGAGGAGAGCGATATCATCTTCGTCAAGTGGGCGAGGATTCTTCTCGTCTCTGATTTCATCTTCGATATCTCTCGACATCTTCGCCGTCTTTAGATCGGAGGTAACTGCGAACTGAGTTTAGAGAGTTTGTCTTGCCGGAGAGGAAAAGAGGAAAACTGATTGAAGACGATAAAGGATCTCGCCAATGGCGAACCCATGCCTTGGCCCTCAAACGTGTATCTTCAAACTCAGCCCATTATTCTCTGTTCTATTAGAGAGATTATAATGGGCCGGAACTCACAAACGAACCCCACTAGTTTAAATAATATTTTGTTATACCTATGTCGATACAAATATATATCTACTAGGTGGACGTCCGCACGCCTATCCGGACATTAATATAATCTATACATTGCATGAATAAAAAATAATATAAATGTATAAATATATTGTAACTTTCTTTCTCTTTTACATAGATACTCTATTTTTTAATATATTTTTCTATTTTACTCATTTCGTTTCTCCTTGTTTTTTTCACACATTCGTTATGTTTCTTATGTATCTCTCTTTACATTATATTTGTATGTCTTTGTACACCTCTCTCGCTCTCTTTTTCTTTTTCTCTTTCTCTTAGTTGATCAAATAATCTCAAAATCTCTCAAATTTACGTTCAGTCTCTTACAATCACCTATATTCATTCTCTTATCCTCGTCCTTAATATGATCCTCAATATTTCACTTTAAAACTCTTGCTATCTCTCTTTGCTTGCAAAATTTTCACCAGATTTTGTTAAATCTTCAGCACTTTCACATAGTATTAATAAATTATTTCAGAATCTATCTCACTTATATTCACTTTCATCTTCATTATGATCATAACCGACTCTCTAATCCTTATCATCACCATATCTCCCTCTCTTTCTCCCTTTCTTACATATTTTTTATTTAGAATTTAATATAAAATCACAATTGCACTAACCAAAAAAAATCATTATCAAATTCTCTCAAATCTTCACACTATCTTATCAAACACTTATTCCTTTGACCAAGATTTTCATTGAAAAAATAAATATTTTATTATTATTTTTTTTAATTACTTCATTACATACATAGTTTAAGTAAATCTAAATAACTGTATTTCAAAAAGTAAATTTGATTCAATAATTATATAACATAAAATATCTTAATTCTAAAATGATGTGATGTCATTATTTTAGACATAGATTAATATAAACATGAGATTCAACAGTTTTAATATATCAAAATAACATGTTTCTAGTTGTATAAATTTTGTTATAACTTTGTTATCATGTATTTTAAAAAATTATTACACCGCAAAAAATACTTATCATTATTTTAAAATAATTTATTTTAAATTTATTTTGCGTTATATTTTGCATCTTCAACATTAAGAATTTTATAACTTATCATTTATATTTATCTTCCTTGCTCAATTTTTCTTTATGTTGTATAAAGACCTAACAATAATTAGTTTACAATTATTTTAATACGTAAAAAATATTTTGGTATACAGATAAAAATTATGTATGTACAAATACAAAATAACGAAGAATACAACAAAAAGTTTTATTATTATTCACTCATGTTTTTATTTATGTCTCTTTTCTTTTTTTCTTATTAAAAATAAACATGCCAATTTTATTATACTTAAAGCTATATGAATTATATGAATAGAATATTAACTCTAGTCTTGTAGTAATATAATGTTTTGATTTTTTGTAATTTTATATTATAATAAACTTTTTAATTAATTTATTCATATTTTTTAAAATGACATACCATATAATTTTCTGTTTTAAATATAAAAATACTTAAATAACTTTTGAAAGTGATAACTCAACTATACTATCGACATTTATCTCTGGAAAATGATAGAATTTTTTTAAAATTTTACCTTTGACTGTTTTGCATTCATTGAATATATTTTAAGAATACATATATATAGTGAGTGAGTATAAAATTATTATTAGTTTTCTGTAATGTATGATTTTTTATCCACTTTTAATAGAAATTTTTTTAAGATCGTTTATATACTTATTTCTACAATATAATATGTATTTATATGTATATTCTAAATTTTTATAATGGAATATGTGATATTTAATTGTTTCTATAAACAAATTATGTTAATCTTATGTATTTAAGATAGTTAATTGTTTGTTTGGTAATATATATTAGATTAGGTAATTCTAGGATTAGTTTCCTTTTAAAAAACTTAAATTAAATGAATAAAAATTCAAATGCCAACAACCAATCAAATTAAGAGAATTAATTCTATATTGCACCTATGAATGACACGTAAGAAAAATTCATTAAAGTGACTTCTCTTTTAATATATAGGGGGATTCTCTTCAAACAGAAGTACAAAAAAATACTTTTATATTTTAAGTGATTTTTTTACGGATTTTCATTACACTTTATATATCGTTTCTTTTAAATAATCACTTCATTTATTCTATTCATTGTCTTGTCCAAAATTTAGTGAATTTGTTTTGATGAATTTGTTTTGATGTATAAACCTTAATATATCTAAAAATAATATATCTAAAGGTTCAGATAGTTGTATCAAAAAAACCAAAAAATAATCCGTGAATTACTCTCTCAAATAAAATGTTCAGTTGTAGTACTTAGGGATCAAATCCACAGAGAACTAAGGAACACAATAGATGTAATTCTAAATGATTATGCTAGGTTGATTAGGTTTAAAATAATAAATTGCAGTTTTGTAAGCAATGATAAGTTGCTTAAGAGAATGAGTTTAGGTTTAAAAACAATAAAAGAAAGTAGTTAGATTCAAGGTTGCTATTCAGATAATCGGGATTATAATGCTATAGATGTTTTAATGAATTGCTTGCAAAATATATGAGAACTTCGATTCTTAGATAGATCTAATAGCAATCGCTAAATAGACACATCCATTGATCTTATTGCCAGCAATATCGACCGATGTTTTGACAGCGATATCGGACAATATGGGTTGCTGTCGATCGATGACTCTATAGGAGTATCGATCGATATAGCATAAGATCGAATAGAAACTATGTTCACCAAGATCATAGACCGGCTCTTGCACAACCCTAAAGGATCTAAGCTCATGCCAAATGATTTCAGGACAATGATTAACAAGTTAAATCACATCCATGATCATACTCTAGGTAGCTACTCTACAGTAATCATTAGGGTTCATTTGGATAATGAATATTAACAATTCAAAATTCCATAGTTGGGGCTAATCCCTCATAACTATTTGAACCCTAAATCTAACAAAGAAATCTACTCAGACATAGCTGAGAGATTCATAACAGCAAGGTAGTAATAGAAACTTATAGATTAGAAGATTGAACTTTTGGTTCTTGGAACAACAAATCTCTTTGTGTGTTTCTTCTAAATCTAGAATTCTATAACCTCTAAGAAATTAAGATGAAAAGAAATATTTTATTGCTAAGTATATAATAGAACAAAGGAACAAGAAAAGTATGCAAAACTTTTCAAGTACAAAAGTAACTAGAACAATAGAAACATTCAAAAAGCATGTCTAGCCAAACACAATGGCAAAAACTATAAATATGAGTTCCATTAGGTTAAAAACTCGCCAGGGGCATTATTGTAATATTGGGATGACTTGGGATTCAAGTCGGCCAAGTCGGACTTGCTCTCCACGCATCATATCGATCGATGGTACATGGTGTACATCGATCGATTGAGTATCTCGACTTCATCTTCAATAGAAGCGTCATCGATCGATTACACAGGGTGTGTATCGATCGATATGTGTCCTTATTGTCTGATCTTATAGTCATCTCGGAAAACTCTCCTTTAAGCTCCAAAAGGGCACCTAAATCATCACTTTACTCCAAAGTGCTCCTGAACCTGAAAACATATCTAATAGACTCCAAAACATATATAAAACTCATAAAAACATATCAATACCCTGGCTAAAAGCGGGTCAAAATCATGGTATATCAACTCCCCCAAACTTAACCTTTTGCTTGTCCTCAAGCAAACCATTAGTCTCTTTTGAAAGAAGTTTTAAAAACAGTAGGGACTCAATAAAATCTTTAGCTCCAAAATCATCCGTTCTACTTTGTTGCAAGCCACATCTCATATTACTAACTACAGAAGTACATTATATCATATCATAGCTTAGCAACCAAATACATCTAGCCAATCAAATCAAACAATCTTGTCTGTCTATCCCCTCTACTGATTTCATTTATGCATAAAATAAAGGTGTAAGCTTTACCTTGAGAGTATCGATCAAAGAACACTTGGATTCAACTCATACAAGTTTCAGGCATTCTCATACTGGTTCCTTTTCTCTCTTTATCCCTCTTCTCTGAATCCCAAACTTTCTTTTCTTTTATATCAACTAGGAAACAACCCCGCACGTAAACGCGCGGGAGAAGGGAATGTTTAATTTTTTTTTTCAATTTTTATAATTTTTTTTTTTTTTTTTTTGTCGGCGCCCATCTTCTAAGATCAAGTGGTATGCGGGTCTAAGTCGTCTCGGAGAGACGTCCTGTCCAGCTGGGTCTGATCTATATGGGAAAAAAGAGTGCCACTACATCTCGCCTCCTTTGCGAGAGAATCTGCCCGCAAATTACTAGTCCTGGGAATGTGGGCGATGCTGAAGTCCGAAAANTTTTTTTTTTTTTTTTGTCGGCGCCCATCTTCTAAGATCAAGTGGTATGCGGGTCTAAGTCGTCTCGGAGAGACGTCCTGTCCAGCTGGGTCTGATCTATATGGGAAAAAAGAGTGCCACTACATCTCGCCTCCTTTGCGAGAGAATCTGCCCGCAAATTACTAGTCCTGGGAATGTGGGCGATGCTGAAGTCCGAAAAACCCTCCTTGAGCAGTCGAAACGAAACTAGTTCAGAGGCAAAGGCCGGCCAGTCGGTGGGATTATCTATCATGTTTACTAGGTCGGAGCAGTCCGTCTCCATATGTATCGTGGTACAAAGTAACTCTAGTAGACAAGACATCGCCCATATAAGACCTTCCATCTCTGCGTGTAGGGCTGATATACTTTTTCGACATCCTTGTAACCCAAATCTTTCGACTCCCATTGGATCCTTGTAA